ATATATAAAGGAAAGGATTCAACACTGTTTACATAGCACCTGTAATGGTGTGGAAATGTACACAACCCTAGGACACAGGTGATCATTTTGGCTACATCGTATGCTGTGAAACCCAACCTCCACGTGAGATCATTGGAGGCTGGGGCAACAGAAAGTGAGTGAGTGACACTCACCCTTCTCTCCCCTCTTCCTTGAACTCTGCGCTGCCCTGCACTGTACAAATAAATCCACCACAGACTTCTTATTCCTATAGTCTTATTTTATATTTTTACAGTTAGATATACACAATAACAGGCTAATGGTAATGTGACCGCCCTCCTCCCCCGTCTGCTTTAGTAAAGCTAAATTCAAGCCATTTATATGAACCAAATGGGTTGTGTATGATTCATTTTACACGTTTCACTCAGTAAATTTCATCTATTAATGCTTCGTATTCCTGCAAACTGTGAGCAGAGTGTATTTATAGTCAGTTTGTACATGAAGTGTGGCTGCTCAGTGAATAACGCACTCCATTTCCATTATTTATGTCATCTTTTCACTACACTTTCTTTGTACAGACAAAAACAATTAATAGTAAAACAGAATTAAAAAAAATCAAACACTGAACATTTAAAAATCACTAAGTGACAAGACAGATTTTTTTTTAAACATCCAAGGAAATCACTGGATCAGATTTATACCACATTACATTTTGATTCTTTTTTTTTTCACTTTACATGTTTGTCTTTTCTGGGAACAACTGACTCCGTGCATGATATTTAGTGCTTGTGTTTTTAGCTGAAACATCTTCTGACTGAGTCTGTGTCAAAGGAACATTGCATAAGGTTGGATCTGAAAGTCTGTTGTGATTGTTTGCCGTAGCATGTTTTGTGAGGGTTTGTGCAGCATCTCAGAAGTCTGTAGAGTACGTCATGGTTCACCAGTGTGGGAGCGAAGGTAAAGTTCTCCAGAGGAAGTCTTCGTCTGTAAACATTTGTGTTTTCTGTTGTGCTGACGGCAGGTTTGGCAAAAGAGGGTGTCGTCTGTCTCATCATCTCCTGCATCACAGACTCAGGCCTGGAGGGAAATAGTGTACAATTATGTTAAGAATACTTCAAATGTGATTCAGGACAGTCAGAATCATGAGGAAATATAACTCATGAGCAGCGATGCTGCCCTTTGCCTGTGTTTTTCTTATCTAATGCCAGTGAATTACAGATCATTACATTATATTTAGCAGACGCTTCTATCCAAAGCGATTTACACTTTGAGTGAGTCAATCAACAATCAAGCTACAGTAAATATACAAAATACAAAAATACATAAATAATAAATAAAAAAACAGTAAACGTACAGTTATAGTGATAGTGGGTCATAGAGTAAATGTTTACTAATGAAAAATAGAACCAGTTGTTGGGACTAAAGCAACTCACAGGACATAAGCCACTATTAAAACTTGATGGCTGCTGAAACCGACTCTCTAACAAAGACCTGCTCTGTTGTTAAAATACCTACTTTGCTCATCCCTGGCCTGAGCCCTTCAGCCGGGTACCCAGCTCTGAGAGGTCTGATTGGTGCTAGTGAAGTTGCTGACTCCATTCATGTTGGACATAGAGTCAAAGTTAAAGTCCAGGCCATCAGCGTCCATCAGCTCAGTCCTGATGATGGAGTCCATGTCACACTCCAGGCTACCACTGAACATGTCCAAGTCCAGATCTTGTGGGAATCGGTCCTGACAGATGCCTCCATTGTTGCTAACAGTTCCATTGAGGAAGATGGAGGTGTCAATCTGCATAGAGGACGAGCCGTTTCCTCCCAAGGGTGACAGCAAGAGCTGCTGCTTAACATTAGCCAGATTGTTGGCCTCATTAGCCAGATTGAGGCCTCCATTCAAAGGTCTCAGGGAGTTCTGGTTGTGGTTGTTACTCTGGAGCATCTCCCTTTGGCTGCTCTGAAGTCCTCTGGTTGTTCCAAAAGTCATCACGGGATCATCCCGAAGCATCAGGCCACGTCGGGAATTCTGGGACATGACCGCAGCGGCACTGGCCTGTGACATCAGCGGGTCAGACTGAGTCATCATGACGTCACTGTGGCTGTGACTGTCAGAGTTCAGCAAATCTTGCAGAGTCTGGCTGCCAAAGCTAGACAAGATGCTGGAGAAGGAGGTCTGCTTGTTCTCCTGGATGGTCTGCATTGGGGATGGATGAAGAGAAACCGTCGTGTGGGGCCCAAAAATGGAGTTACTGAAGCCATTGCCATTAGAAGAGAGACAAGAATTAGAGGATGAAGAAGAGATGGCGGAAGTTGAGACAAGCCCGTTGGGTTTGGATCCAAAAGTGAACCCTGATGAATCGTTTGGAGAGGACTGGCTGGAACTGGTTGGCACCAGGTTGATGTTGACAAGCAACTCATCCATTAGGTCATCTGTGAGTCCATCATTCAGATTCATCGTACCCGTCAAGTCCGCAAGGCGCGGCAGCTCGGCCGGTGCAGCCTTGCCACTGGTTGTGGTTTTGCCAGGAGACAAAGCTTTACCAGGACTGGAGTAAAACATGGGCGAGAGGGGGGGCTCATCGTCGGGCACCTCGTCTAACTCTGGGTTTGCCAGACCACTTATAGTGCTGGCATTGGAATTGGCACGAGAGCGGAAGTCTGTCCAAACATCCAGGTCCTCGGTGCTGCGGGTCGTTGGGCTGCCTGGCCACTTAGAAAGACCTGAGGGACTGTCTCCTCCACCTTCCCCAGCTGCAGCGGCTGCGGCTTGCAGCGCCGCCTTCTTTTTGGCCGCACGGCCACGGGCGGACTTGGTGTACTTGTTGCTGTTGTCCATGGAAACGGCACGGCGACGAGGAGCCTTGCCGCCTTTTCCTCCTTCTGGATTGATCATCCACCAGGAACTCTTTCCTGTTCCTTCATTTTGGACTCGAATGAAGCGGCTGTGGAGGGAAAGGTTGTGTCGGATGGAGTTCTGAAAAACACGAAACAAAGAGCGAGGACAGTTGTGAGCAACAGATTCACAAATTAGAACAGCCATTGATATTGATTGGTTGTGTTCCCTCTCCCCCTTTAAAATATTTACTGAGGGCAACTCATCAAACACCACAACACTGATCTATAAACCACCGGCTGCCAATGATTCTACAGCACCTTAACAGCTGCTGTTATTGCACAGCTGAAGCAAAACTGTTCTAAAATAAACATTCTTAAATAAAATGATCTTAAAAAGTGACGGCAGGAAGACAACTGTGTGTTTATCCAGTTCATTGGGCCGGGGACTTAGAGACTGGCGTCAGCCGTTTGTTGTTTAGTGTGTGTACAACTGTTTCATTATATAACAGCACATTTTTACACTAGTAAAATTAGGTCTTGTGATTTCAATGGATATTTTTCCCCATTTGTGAATACAGAGTGAGGTCAGTTCA